CCGGTCCTTTTTCTCATTCAGGTAAATGTGGGACCTGCCACTGAAGTCAATGAGAGCAGCATCGGGCCAACAGAGTGTAGCTCTCATCCCGAAAGGAGGCAGTTTCCAGGTCCTCACAAGACAAGGTCATGGCTAAAGGGTCAATGTCAAATTATTCTAGCTGTGAACTGCAATAATCCAGGGCAGAAACCTTTGCTGCTCTTGTCTCTAGCATCCTCGACAAACTGAAAAGTGCCATGTTCAGTGAAAAATACACATGACTATAATGGAAGAAATGCGGGATCCACTTGTATGTCAAAGGAGAAAGGAGAAAGAAGTAGCGATGAGAGGGCGTGAGGATTTTATTGCCAGAGGTGACTAAAATAATTTGAATTGTAAATGATTTTAAATACCGAATTGCTCTAAAATCGGTGAGCCTTAGAAGCCTGAATTCCACACAGGTCATCGCTCTGAAAAGTAGGCTGTACTTCGGCGTCAGTTTCCGGACTCCCACATAAGTATACCTAATATGTTCCTTTGATAAATAATCTGTCAATCTATTTTCCATGCATAAGCAAAACGTTCATTTTAATACACACTCTGGCTAACTCAATAGATGTTGTTAAATGGAAGTGTTTAGAAACAATATCAGATAATTAAAGGAGCCGATCCTGCACTCCCTACTAGGCAAAACTCCCATTGACAACAATGCAAGTTTTGTATGCGTAGGCAGCGCAAGTCCAGGGCCTGATTTAAGATGCCTAATGCTAGAAATATAATTTGTTTTTAAAGGGACATGTCAATCTGAAATATAGGTAGTCAAAAAGCAAGTTAAACGTAGTTAGAAGTACTGCTTAGGCGTCTGAGTCTCCGGGCAAAGTTCCGTGGCTTCACAGCCACATTTTCCTATTTTGAAAATGTTTTTCTTTTCCCTATTGTTTTGTGAAAAACTGACACAAGCAACAAGGGAAGCTGATGAACGGGCTGTTACAGTGAATAGCACAGGAAATAGTAAAACTGACTATCGTCACATTGTTGTCAAATGCACAAAGCAAACAAGATGAAAAAAGAGCAAATACTTATTAAAATTCTGTTATAATAAACCTACGTGTTATAAGTAACAATAGGGGGTAACAATTTTCTAGGCAGAAGTGTGATTTTTAACTACCTTCACAGTTAATTCCAGAAATGTATGTTTTCAATAACACTGGTTTTCTGAAAACAGGCATTATATTACAATATTATTTAGAATAGGGTGTTGCACTAGGTAGCTTGCAAATACATTCTGCGCTGACTTACACCTAGTTCAAGTCTATTAACTTTAATTGAATTATATGTAGGTTAAGTCACTGCAGAAGTTGACCCATAAATATTATATTCTTTTACTAATCTTTGCATAGGACACTTAAAGAAGAAGAATCCTTCTTTTGTTAATAATTTCAGCTAACAGAAGTGACTGGTCATAGTCACAAAAATAGTTTACTTTGAGACAGTGAAGGCCTCTTTTTCTTTTGCAGCTGAAATTGACCAGCCAGAAAAGTAGCACCATACCACCTGATGCCTTGTATGTCCTTTTAAAATGTTTGTAGGAAGGAGCATGTTGTTTGTAATTAATTACTGTTAACAATTCTAAAGAGACATATCTTATAAAACAGAAAGAGCTGTATCAGCGTCCAACACAACAGTCAAAAAAACAACAATCCCCAAACCCTCTGCACACAGATATAATCATCGGACATCGCACGGAGTACTGCAAACATGTACCCACCTGACTTCCCTACCTTCCAAGTACCATTTATAATTTATCCAGTATGTATAGGAAACGCCCAGTTTGGGGCTCATTTAAGAGTTGTGAGGGGAATAAACGAAGTTATTTATATTATTGTAATCTGGACTGCATGTGACGTAACGTAGGTTTAGTATTTTTCATCTTTTTCTCATTTTGGCCCCGATCCTGCTCTTTATTTAACTTAAGATGGATACTTTTCGCTTCAAATATTGCTTTGATAAGTACCAGGTAACTAACCTTTGACTACAGCTGATGGCCGTGAGTAATATTGCAGCGCTATTTACTAAACTACAATTTTAAATTACTGACAGAAAATAGTTGGCTTTAATCCAATTTACAAAACTTGCCTTTCAGCCTTTATTATAGTTACTCTGTCGTAATATGTGGGTAGATTGGTTTCTAGTTGAGTATATACTGTCTCTGGTATTGAACCACATAGTGTATATAGTACAGAATTGTCGGTAATGTCAAGCAGTGGAAAAAGGAGATAGTGTGGCAGTAATAGCTGTGTCATCTATAAATTCTGTAAAGTTAAACTAGAATTATTAAATGAACAACGTGTAGTAAATCTTTACTGCAAACCCAGCCAACATGAATTGGAACAGGAGTAGGACGAAGTAGAATATCCAATTTGCATGTCATATTTTGCTTTCCATCACAAGTAGGGCTTTGATATTGTCATAGTTCACCTTGAAATTATAAAACGATTGTCTAGTATATGAAACAAGCCATGTGTATCATAAAGATCACCGTTCTTATTAGCATCTAGCAATGTGCCTTAATAATTCCATGTCCTGCTATTTTACCGCTTTCTTGTGAGCAAATGGTCTAACCTGCAGACAGATACAGTTAAACTTATCGATGTTCGTCTGCAGCTCCTAACTTGCATGTAATGTTTATTTCCCTAAATCACCCTCCTTTTCTTTAGTGGCTTCCATTGTGACTTATTCTTTCTCTGTTTTCCTCTCCCCCCTCCTCCCTGTTAGTATCAATCCTGCCATTATTTTTCTGATGATCAGCAGGAAGCACATCTATTCTGAACAGGCTTGTATATATCGTCTTACAAACGCGAAAATAAAATTAGTCAAGAACTAACTCTATATTTCTTAAGATAGAAAAGAATATCTAGAATCGTAAATATGTTGTAATGTAGATCTTGTCTATCGTTTAATGTTAAGAAGGCTGTGTGATTGATTCTGTGTTTGACCTTAGGTGTCAGCGAATTAACTTGAAATTATGTAGGGCGTGGAATAAAACAAGTTGGATTAATTAGCCAGTTAAAGAGTCAAACTGTGTATATAACCAGAGGAGAGATGGAAAACATTAGGGGACATATATTTAAAAATAACAAACAACGCTGAAAACTAGGACTTGCATAAATATTATGAAACAAGCTTAGTGATTATATGTAATGGGGCTGAGACCTAAAGTACTGTTGTGGGAAACCTAAGAGTAAGGGCTATTATGCATATTAACATCTGTTGGATCATAAACCTATGACAAATTGGTTGTTTCCCATATGAGAGGAGTTACAAGGACTGAGAAATGAATCTTGCATATCTAGCCATCTCTTGTATTTTTTTTCCATTAAAAGGAAGTCACTGTTTGCCCAGTGTATAAAAAAAATCATGTATTATCAAAGGAAAAGGAAATAATGTTTAAGGAACAATTAATCTGGCTTGGAGCTGAATCACTATATTTATATGTCACAATGAAAGCACCTGTTTTGTTTATCAGTAACTATCTGTTTATATACAAAGCAACCAGATATTGTGTTACAGAAAGGCAAAATTATCTCAGTCCTGCATTAATTATAAACACAACAGATAGCTAAAACACTTCTATGGGTGTTCTCTTTGAGAGAGGTATTTCCATGTGGGAGTGTCTTTGGAGGGAGAAATGGTATCTTGCTTAGGCCTCAATGGGACAATAATGATTTGATGTTTCATCCTGTGACTCATAGCTCCACTGAGTTACACCTTAATTCAGGCACACACAGTATAGTTCACAACATAAATACACCTAGGTCTTTGTCATGCTAGATGGGAACAGGTAATCCAGGTCAAACTAGTGATTGCTAGAAAATATGTATAAAGAAATAGCCTAATCATCATACCGATGAGCAATTGTTTCAAAAGTGAAATAACATTTGTCATTAATATAGAGCTATGTCAAAATGCCAAGCAGAACGGATGAAGTTAAAATAAATCAAGATATTGAATCTCATTGAAAAAGAAAGCAGTCATTCATAACCAATGGGAGCTTCTTCAACGGGGGCTTTTAACCCTCAAATGACACCGAGATTTAGAGAGACGATGGGTGAGGTAATAGCTTTTATTAGACCAGCTTCTGTAGGCGAGAGAAACAAGCTTTGGGGCTACACCGAGCTCCTCTTCAGGTCTGGGAAAGGTCCTCCGAGCGTCACAGCTAAATACAAGATTGAACAGACGCTGAACTATCTGTATCATCTTGTAGTTATCTGTAACCCTATCAGTCCCTTTCCCAGACCCGAAGGCAAGCTCGGTGTAGCGGCAAAGCGTGTCTCTCTCACCTAGAGAAGCTAGTCCAATAAAAGCCATTACCTCAGCCAGCTTCTCGCTCTAAAACCCTGGCACCCCCAGGGCTTACATCAACAGTGCATACTGAGACGTAGGACTGTAGGGCGACGTTTCCTTGTGTAACGAAGCGGATCATGACTCCAGGAAAGGCCCAAACGTGGGCCAAGTGCCCCCTAGCCATACCAAGCGTTATTCCCTGCTTTGGAGTGAGCGACTCCCTCCTTTGGGATTGTGACCGGTTTTAAGGCCGGTTCTAAACTTCCCCGAGGCGTGGCACGAGTTTGCGGTGTGTGTTTTGCAAAGGGAGACCCGGGCAATCCCCTCGAGGCCGGCGGCTGGCTTCGCGGCTCTCCCAGCAGCTTGGCGCAAAGCCGGGCCACCTTTGCAGCGCTCTCCGGGCCTGGCAGCTCCGCGCCCCGCTCCCAGCTGTGCAACGCCGCCGCCGCAACGCCCGCGCCCGGGAACCCAGCTTCCCTCGGCGCCCGCCCGCCGGCCCAGCAGCAGCGCCGGGGCTCGGCGCTGCCGGACAGCCGGAAAGACACAACCGCTCTCCCCCTTCCCCTCCCCCCCGGCTTTTCTTCTCGCCGGCGCTTGACAGGAGGGTCACGTGGCAGCCGCAAAGCATCTCTTTGCGACCTCAATGACAGGCAAAATGTGCGACAGACGCTTTGCGAGCCAGGGAGGAAGCAGTGCTGCCTCCTCCTCTCTGTGGCACGGCAGCGGAGGGCGCTGCTCAGAGGGGCCGGCTGCGCCCCTGCCCCTTCAGAGCCGAGCCCCCTCCTCCCGCCCGGGACCCCCCTGTTCTCCGACGCCGGAGCGAGCCCGAGGAGCGGCCCCAGGAGCAGGGGAGCAGCAGGGGGAGTGTCTCGGCTCGGAGCTCACATGAGCTCTTAGCCTCCCATCCCCGGTCCCCAGCAGCAGCAGGCTCCAGGTGCACAGTGCAGACAAGAGCAGGGGACCCGGCCGGCTGCAATGGCGTCCAACATGGACCGAGAAATGATACTGGCAGATTTTCAGGTACCTTTCACCCCCCCCGCTTCCCCAGTCTCTCAGTCTCCCGCCCCTCTGCTTTTCTTCCTCCTTATTTCTGTGCCACCCCTTCTTTGTGCCAGGGTTCGGCTCTGCGGGCGTGGAGCCCACCCCCCCAACAGCTGTGCGCTCGCTTGTTTTACCTTGTAAAATCTGCCCTGCTCTCAGAACTCGAGGGGTGTCTCTGAAACGCCTTTGAAACGCGCAGCTAATAAAGGCACCTTCATCCCTGCCCCCATTCCCAAACCTCAGACAAGCCATAGCCCAGCTCGCCCAGTCCTGGCAAAATCCTGGAGGATACAAAGCTTCTCTTCTCCCAATGGTCACTGTGTGTAACCTCTTAGCTGTCAATAGGCCACTTGCTGTGCTGGAGATGGGTACTAATTTCCATCATAAAGTAAACATTAAGCACACTGGGACCATGGCTGCCTCCACCTGTGATAGCTTTAATGTGTAGGAAGTTTTTTATTTTTTTTAAATAAGAATGAAGAAATATATATATTTGTAGAGAGAGAAATGTTCACTGGGAAGTCTTTCACCATACAAGGAAGTTTAAAAAAAATCCCCAGAATACTTTAATCTCAATTCCAAAGCAAGTGTTTCCAATTGAAAGTGATATTTAACAGGTTTGCAGGTATTTAGTTAATCAGTTCAGTGTAGTAGCTTTATTTTTCTATATGGTTTCCTTATGAACAAGTAAACAGGCATTTACTTCTCTCCCTTCTCCTTTTAAAGGATACAGTAAACTGAAATTGGTTCTGAGTGTGTGTGTGTGTATGTGTGAAACAACTTGTAAAAGTGTCTGATTCCATTGTCTTGCATGTATTTGTTTCGTGTATGTTTTTAAAAAAAAATTCTTAAACCATGTCTATTGTGTGGTGCATGGAAAGACCTTAAATTAACTCTCAGGATTGGGGCCTAGGCCTTTACCTCTAAATTTAAAAAGATCGAGCAGTTCACTAGGAACATAGCTTCATTTGGTGATTATATCTATTATTTATTTAAAAAAGAGAGCTTTTTTTTACCTCTTCTTTTTGAATGCGTGTGTATACATGTATACACACATACATTCATAAAGATATTCCTTAATAAGAATTATTTGATCATAACAAATATAATTTAATGTGTCTTTAAAAAATATTCTCCTCTGCTGAGATGCCTACAAAAAACTTGATAACGAATAGGCTGCTGGTGTGCTGAGACCACTGCCTGTCATGCTGACCAATTCTGTCTCACTGTTCCCTTGTACTCCTCTGTCTGTCTCTTATCTTATACTTAGTCTCTGCCCCAAAGAGTTTACAATCTATCTCTTTGTTCTCTGTTTGTACAGTGCCTAGCACAAGGAGACCCTGGTCCTGGGGTAGGACTCCTAGTTGCTATGGTGGTAATAACAATAAGAGTAAGCAATCTATTATTGTTTATTGCTGTGACATGTTGGGTCATGTTCTTAAAGGGATGATGCGTGGATATTTTCCTTTCATAGGACTTTGACTATGTGACATTGATACTTGTTTATCTACTTTGAAATTTTAATAAACAGCTCTACAGGTAACCTCAATTTTTTTTGATATTTGGAGTGTACAGTACTGTGTAAGGAATAACATACCCCCAATTATATGTCATTAATCTGTAATTCCTTCAAAGGATTCTGGTAACCCCACATACCACAGAAAATGAATTTGGGCCCCAGGCCTGTTATCATATCCATGTAGGCAGAAACTTTCAGAACCTAATTGATGTTGCTGGAACTCCATGGTGCTGCAAGGATCATGTGTGTGAATCCAACTGCAGGATTGGGGCCTTGGTTTGTGCATCCTACCAGAGTCGTAAAACAGAACGCTTAATTCATATACACTTTGCAGATTTTAATACTACTACTTTGCACTTATATAGCACCTCTTTTTTTGGAGGATCTTAAAGCTCTTAATAAAGGTGTGCTGAGTAACTGCAGCAAAGGGTACCTTTATAAATGATAAAGGCAAGAAAGTATTACCTCAGTTTTACAAATGGGAAAACTGAGGTACTGAGCGGTTAAGTGGTGCTTCAAATGAAACATAATGAATGAATGGTAGAGCTGAGGCCAGAACCCAGATCTCCAGGTAAGATTGTCTCATAATGCCCGTTTTTTTTTTTTTTTTTTTTTTTTTTTTTTAAATCACCCTTTCTTCCCCAGCCTCTCATTTGTCTTTTGTATTTCAGTAGCCACCTACTGTGTTTCTGGCCCTCTTTTAATTTTTCCTGCTTCCCATGAAATGATACTGTTTACATTAGTTAAAGGGACATTGTCAATAATTTTTATGCCAAATTTGACCTGCATCTCTAAAATGCTAGGAATTGGTGAGACAGCTTTGTTTTAAATATCTAGTGTTGTTTTAAATTTGCTAGTCATTCACCAACAACTTAATAAAAAACAAAACAGAAGCCATATTTGGGGGGGATTCACCAAAATAATCTTGTATGCTGTTTCTGCTATATTTTCTGTGTTTTGTAACTAACAAATATTGTTCTCATCCTTGAGCATAGTAGTGCAAGATATTTAGTTATAATACATTATATACACTGGAAACTATTAAAACAATTATTTGCAATTCTGTTCAATTAGTGTTTGCTAAATTGGGAGGGGATTTTTGTTTTTCAAACCTCTTTAAAAAAATTACCAAGCAAAGGTCACTATCATAATTATTTTTAACATGGTAAGCGCTCCCATCCCCACAAAAATTCTCCATTGGACTCAGAAATTTTTATCATTGGGTGTTTTCATGAGACCCGAAGGGCGTAATCTTGCTGCACTGAAGTCAATGGGAGTTGTGTTGTTGACTTCAATGGGAAGAGCACCCGATACTTTACATTTAATTTTCCATTTGACTATGGTTGTTCTAACTACTTTTGTGTCCTACAGCACTAGTTTTTTGTATTATTTTAGTTACCTGATTGTGAGATTTACATGTGGTTAGATTAAAACTGATAACAGTAGCTAAGAATAGGACTACTCAAATAGTTTTAGAAGGCACATGTTATGAAGAGAAAGTATCTAAACTTGTAATTCTCTAAGAAGATATAAATGAGGTTATTTGTACATCACAGGGTGAATGAAAAGGATGCCTTAATGCAGGGGTCGGCAACGTTCGGCTCGCCAGGGTAAGCACCCTGGCGGGCCGGGCCAGTTTTATTTACCTGCTGACGCGGCAGGTTCGGCCGATCGCGGCCCCCACTGGCCACGGTTCGCTGTCCCGGGCCAATCGGGGCGGCGAGAAGCCGCGGCCAGCACATCACTCGCCCGCACCGCTTCTCGCCGCTCACATTGGCCCGGGACGGCGAACCGCGGCCAGTGGGGGCCGCGATCGGCCAAACCTGCCGCGACAGCAGGTAAATAAAACTGGCCCGGCCCGCCAGGGTGCTTACCCTGGCGAGCCGCGTGCCGAACGTTGCCGACCCCTGCATTAATGCAAACAGGCTACATAAGCACCCTGCCTAGCCTGTTACATCTCTACCCCGATATAACGCTGTCCTCGGGAGCCAAAAAATCTTACCGTGTTATAGGTGAAACCGCGTTATATCGAACTTGCTTTGATCTGCCAGAGTGCGCAGCCCCCCTCGCCCCCCGGAGCACTGCTTTACCACGTTATATCCGAATTCGTGTTATATTGGGTCACGTTATATCGGGGTAGAGGTGTACTTTTAGGCCCTATTCCTGCAAAGACTAAGTATATGCTTAACTTTATATGCTGTGAGTAGTACCACTGACCTCAGTGGGATCATGCATGGTAGTAAATTTAAGTATGTACCAGTGTTAATTACTGTCATAAATGCAATTCAGAATTTTTTCACTCACTATGTGACTGGAATATGGGGCAAACTGCAAAAAGTTAGTACTTGAAGTAGGTAGCATAAATTCATTAAAGAGGGAATTGGATATGCATTGCTAAAGGAGCTAATACAGGGCATATCTCCAGTTCATGTGGGAAATGGAAAATATTATTTTAAATTGCCTAACACAACAGGACCTTGATCTGTGACTGGGTTACCTAAAGAGCTACAATAACACAAATAATATAGTTTAGAGTCTTCAGTCAGAATTGGGATGCCCCATATAAACACAGAGTAAAAGCTGGTCCCTCTTCTGAATAGTTTATAGTTTAATTAAGAACTTACAATCAAATTAAAAAGGAATGTCCTGAATTTAAAAGCACAGGTGCTGGTGGGTGATATGATTCTCTTGGTATTCAGTATTTCTGTGTAACAACTTTATTCAGCAAAAAAATGATAGGTCTGCCATTTTGGCCCCAGAGATAGTTCCTCTAGGTTTCCGGGGGTAGGATGTTGCATAGCATTAGTGTGATCTAAGCAGCAAACAGTCTGAACCTCTTGTGGAGCTCAGCTACTGACTCTGTTTGCAAGTAGGTGAGAGACACACATGCAAACCCATCCCTGTTGATCATCTCTGAAATTTGCGGTCTAGAAAGAATTGCTCCAAAGGCACACTGGCCAATTTTAGTTTAATTTAAGTTGCAAAACTCCCACTGACTTTAATGTAACCAAGGCTAGAGCTGCACTACAAACTTTTGCCGGCATGGCTCTGTCAGTCAAGGATGTGAAGAGATGTGATCCTTGACCAGCATAACTGTGCCAGCAAAAGCCCCTGATGTAGACATACTTATATTGGCAAAACTGTGATCTTACTTGTGTAGTTTATTTTGCTTGGGGGTGGGGGGGGCGGCTATGAGTGTTCTGTTTATATGGTATACACCTCTACCCCGATATAACACGACCCGATATAACATGAATTCGGATATAACGCGGTAAAACAGCGCTCCGGGGGGGCGGTGCTGTGCGTTCCGGCAGATCAAAGCAAGTTCAATATAACACGGTTTCACCTATAACGCGGTAAGATTTTTTGGCTCCCGAGGACAGCGTTATATCGGGGTAGAGGTGTACCAGTATAGCTACACCAATAAAGTGCTGGTAATGTAGACCTGACCCAGGACTTG